CATAGCCAGGTTAGCAACTCTAAAAAAAAATTTTATGACCCACCCTAATATATATATATTATACTATATATAGTATATATATATAGTATATATATATATATTATATATATATATATATATATATATATATATATATATATATATATATATATATAATATTATATATATATATATATATATATATATATATTAATATATATATTATATTTATATATATTATATATATATATATATAATATATATATATATATATAGATATATATAGTATATATATATATATATATATATATAAATATATATATATATATATATATATAAATATATACACATATATATCTGTGTGTGTTTTACTCTGAGTGTTTATGTGTGTATACGTTTGTGTACACTTCTCTGGTTATTTATAGACAACAATTTTAAAATAAGACTTAAAATTTTTGTTTAGATTTTATTATCCATAAAAAGCAGTTTGTTTTAAATCAAGGTTTAATTCTTGGAACACTCGATGTTTTAAGGAAGGAACACACTATCATTTTTAAGGTTTATCCTAAAAGTTACTCTAAAGGCTGGAAGAGTGTTTTTCATTTAACCCAGGGTAAAGATTACGGAGCTTATGGTGACAGAATTCCAGGTGTTTGGTTTCATGATGACGGCTCCGGAAAACTTTCAATTTTTACTGCAGTTAACGGTAATAATAACTATTATGTTGCAACAGCTCCGCTTCCATTAAATCAATGGTCCAGTGTTAAAATATGTCAAAGTGTACATAACGGGAAGTATTGGTATTCTGTTGATCTTAATGGAATCAACATTCATAGAGTTGAAAATTCTGACGCCAGAGATATTTCAAAACATAATAGTATACGCCTCTGACCCTTGGTATGCTGCTCAAAACGCTCTAATTTCTAATATTATCATTGTCAATGGTAACATTGGTAAAAATGATTTTAACAAATGTTTTTATTGTCTCTTATTTAAATTTTAAATTTTATTCAAATTTTTGTTAATGTCCTTCTAATAAAGTACTTCTTGTTTAACTCCATTATTGAAAATGTTTGTAATTAAAGAAAATAAAAATCAATTAACTCAAGTCTAAATTTATGTGCATTGTGGTATTAGGTTGAATACATTTAATTTTGTAGAAACTATTATTGGCAGCGTACCTGCAAATTTAGTCAAAGGAAAACTTATTGCAGAAATACCCAAGTTAGATAAGGAATATTTGGTTTCGTTTGATATCTATCCTAATAAGTTTGTTGCTGGTTGGCATAGTGTTATTCATTTCTCTATTGGTTCTGATTATGGTCGTTATGGCGATCGAACTCCTGGTATCTGGTTTCACACTGACGGAAAAGGAGGTCTCTACATTTCAGCGCCAATTAATGGTAATGTCGACAGAGTTTTTACCACAAATCCGATTGGATTAAATCATTGGTCTAGTGTTGAAGTTAGTCAATTTTTAAGAAACTCAGTTTACATATACACAATCAGAATAAATGAAGAAATTGTCTTTTCTGAAATAAATAACCTGGCTCAAAGTTTTGATAATGTTAAAGTATATGCATCAGATCCTTGGTATGATGCTCAATATGGCTCAATAAGAAATTTATTTGTTGTCAATGGTGTTTCCAGTATGTTTTAAGTTATCAATTTTAAGTTTTCAATGTTTTTTTGTTGTTTTTTTCTTTTGAGAGGTTGCTGGTTTCTATATTCAAAAAAAAATTGTTTCACTTTTTTTAGATAATGGACTCCAGGCAGTTATTGTTTTACCTACAGGTATATAAAATATTATTTGATATTTTTTATATCATTTTTTAATGCATTGATGCATTAAAAAATGATGCATAAAACACAGTGATTTTAACAAGGAGAAATACTTGACTCCTAGCAAATCAATAATGGAAAATGCGGAGTTAATCGAAAAAGAGTTATTAGATGCTGTTCTTTCATTAAAATTAAACAAATCACAAGGATTTGATAACATTAGCAGTAATGTCATAATTAAATGTATCTTCTATATTAAAAAAATCCTTTTGCATATATTTAATCTTTCGTTTAAACAAGGAATCTTTCCAAAAAAACTTAAAATTGCAAAGGTAATACCAGTTTTTAAATCTGGAGATAATACTAATATTTCTAATTATAGACCTATTTCCATTCTTCCTTGCTTCTCAAAAATACTAGAACGCATTATGTATAACAAATTATATTCATATTTAGAAAAAAATAATATTCTATATAACAAAACAATTTGGCTTCAAAACAGGACACTCTACTGATCATGCAATTCTTCATCTTGTTCAGATTATTTTTCAAGCTTTTGATAAAAACAAGTTCACTTTAGGTGTTTTCATAGATCTAAGTAAGGCGTTCGACACAGTTAATCATAGTATTTTAATTAAAAAGTTAGAGAACTACGGTATCAAAAATATTAACATAGCTTGGTTTAAAAGCTACTTATCTAATAGAAAACAGTATATTTCATTCGGCAATAAAAAAACTAACAATATGACAATTACTTGCGGCGTTCCTCAAGGATCTATATTAGGACCACTCTTATTTTTAATTTATATTAATGATTTAAGCAAAGTCTCTAATATTCTAGATTCTATCTTATTTGCAGATGACACAAATTTATTTTATTCTCATAGTGATATAACAGCATTATTTAAAACGGTCAACATTGAACTCCTAAAACTAACCGAATGGTTAAATATGAACAAACTTTCAATTAATTTAACTAAAACTAAATATACTATTTTTCATCGCCTCCATAAAAAAGAAAAAATTCCTCTTGAACTTCCAAAACTTATTATTGGAGATTACATCGTAAAAAGAGAATGTTCGATGAAATTTTTAGGTGTAATTCTAGATGAAAACATAAATTGGAAAGACCACATAAACATGATTGAAAATAAAATTTCTAAAAATATTGGATTACTCTATAAAGCAAAACCATTCTTAGATCAATCCTGCTTGAAATACATATATTACTCATTTATACATTCTTATCTTAATTATGCAAACATTGCTTGGTGTAAAATACCAATAAAACAAAGATAAAAAAGCTATTTAGCAAACAAAAACATGCAATTAGATTATTATCAAATGCACACCGCCTCTCACATTCAAGACCATTGTTTTACAATCTAAAAATACTAAATGTGTACCAAATAAATATATATCATCTTCTGATTTTTATGTATAAAATTAATAACAATTCAATACCAAATATCTTCAAACCATTATTTAATAAAATTCCACACAAATACGTAACTAAATATTCTAACAACAACTTTGTTCAACCCAAAACTATATACGACTCCACCAAGTTTGCAATAACTGTTAGAGGACCTAATGCATGGAAAAAAGATAATCAGTAATGATATTAAAACACTTAAAACTCTTGATCAGTTTAAACAAAAACTAAAACTATTACTTTTAAATAATGAACAAACAGATAAGTTATTTTTAAATCTATCTATAAAAATATTATATATTAAAACTATCTACTAATGCATACTTTATTTGTCTGTAAGGTCTAAATTCTTTAATTTTATATAGGTATTACAGTCTGTTATATTATAAAAAAAGTATTTATAAAGATTTTTAGCATTTTTAGATTTCATTAGTTTAAATAAATTTATTAGTTTTCTTAAATAAGAGAGAGAGAGGAAAAATAAAAAAAGTAATCTTTTTTGAGTTTTAATTTTTTATATTAATATTTTGTAATTTGTTTTTGAGGAATTAATATATTACACTTTATAAGAACAGATTGTAAATTAAATTTTACGTTTACTTTTTTCATGTTTTTTTGTTTTTTGATATTTTTGTTTTTCTGAATGAACTTTTAAATTTTTCATTCAAAAAATAAAATCGAAAAAATATCTTTCAAAGCTTTGAACTATTAAACTATTTGGCATTTTATATAAACTTCTTTGTAATTTTTTGGTTTTTTCTTAATTTTTTAATTTTCATTTTAGTTACCATGTATTTATATAAATGTCTAGACAAACAAGGGACTTGGTGATAAGACAACCCCGTCTTCTTCTCGTCCTTGCCAT